AGGGTTTAGGGAGTTTAGGGGTCTGGGGTTCAGGTTTGGGGTTCAGGGTTTAGGGTTCAGGGTTCAGCTTTAGGGTTCAGGGTTTAGGGTTTAGGGTTGAGGAGTTTCAGGAGGATGGCCTGCATGCGTGCATGCGCGTATGATGGGTAGCCCATGACTGCCCGGTGAAGCTTTCAAGCAAGGGTTCCCGGGCTTCGGGCCGTAAGGCTGGTTGTAGGGTTCAGGGTTGTAGGATTCAGGGTTTAGGGTTTAGAGTCTAGGATTTAGGGTTTAGGGTTTAGGGCTGAGGGCCAGAATAAACCTTCAAACTTACGTCCAACCCACCCAACCTCAATCTCAGTTGGCTGCCTTTCTGACCCGCACAAAGTCTAAAATTCTAAAAGACTGTGACCCTCAGCCTAAAGCCCTTCAAACCCAACCCATCAAGCCTGAACTCCGTAACCACCTAAACGCAAACCCTAAAGCTCCAAATCTTCGAGACCCTAAGCTGAAGACTGAACCCCGAAGCCCTAAACCCAAGACCCCTCAAACTCACTTCTTATAGCAACCCTACAAGCCCTTGTGAGGCCCCCCGCCAAACAAGCATCAAACCACCCTATCTCCCTGGATCCAAACCCCGCTAAACCCCAAGCCCTGAACGCTGAACCCTAAACCCTGAAACCTGAAACCCTAAACCCTAAACCCTAAACCCTAAACCCTAAGCCCTAAACACTGAACCCTAAACCAAAATCCTGAAACCACAGACCCCTCCAAGGGTCATGCTTCGCTGGTCTCCGCAAACTTCCGCACTCAGCTCCCAGAGTCCGGCGACGAGGCCTTCACGGGCTGTTGTAGGGGCACTACTTGCGTTGCTGGAAGTTTACGGCCTAAACCCTGAACCCTAAACCCTAAACCCGGTTTAGGGCGTAATTATGGTGAAGGGATGTATTCGTTCAGGGTTCCATAGGGCCTACGGTTTTTTTGGCTCGAAATCTAAGGTCCCTAAACCCTAAACCCTAAACCCTCAACCCTAAACCCTAAAACCTAAACCGGGTGCAGGTTCTTCGAGTTTGTTGGGGCAGAAGCCTTGGGGCTGGATCCGAGGGCTTAGGGTTTAGGGTTTAGGGCTTTAGGGGAGAGGGCGTCTTCGCTAAACCCTAGCCCTTAAAACCCTAAATAACCTAAATGTTAGAGTTTCGGGCTTAGGGTTTAGGGTTTAGGGACCCTACACCGTTCCGATTCCGGTTGCAGGTCGAGATTAGTTTTCTTTGTTGCGGGCTTCAGGCCCTGGGGGGTTCTGCTTCTTACAGGTTCCAGGCACCCTCACACCCCAAAACCCTAAAGCCCTACGGGACGTTTCGCTGAGGTTTAGGGTGCAGGCTTAGGTTTTTTCCCTAAGCCGTAAGCCTTAAGCCCCTAAACCCTACTGGGGTGTCGGGTGTAGGGTTCCTCCATAGGATTCACGGTTTGACATGTCCCGAAACGAAGGCTTTCATTTCGAACGCGGAGTCGAGGTCAAGCTTGAGGCTTTCGGGTTTCATGGTGGAGGGTTTTAGGGTTTAGGGTTTAGGGTGTTAGGGGTTAATGTAGGGGCCTAAGTAATTACCAATACTATTTTCGGGGTTCCTCATTATAAATATAGTATAATATACACCAAAATCCTATTCTAATCATTGAGGCTCCTGCATTAGGGTTGAGGCTTTGGGGTTTAGTGTTCTGCGGCTTAAGGTTTCGGGACTTAAGTTTTAGGGGCTAGGGTTGAGATATCTTTGGGTATTCTTGACATGGGATCAGCTGTAGATAAAATGGGTCTGAGCCCTGAAGCTTGCGATTACTCTCCACCCCTAAACCCCTAAACCCTAAACCCTAAACCCCTAAACCCCTAAACCCCTAAAGCCCTAGAGCCCTAAAGCCCTAAACCCCTAAACCCTAAACCCTAAACCCCTAAACCCTAAACCCAAACCCCTAAAGCCCTAAAGCCCTGAACCCCTAAACCCTAAAGCCCTGAACCCCTAAACCCAAACCCCTAAACCCTAAACCCCTAAAGCCCTAAAGCCCTGAACCCCTAAACCCTAAACCCCTAAAGCCCTAAAGCCCTGAACCCCTAAACCCCTGAACCCCTGAACCCCTAAGCTCCACACCAGATGTCTGAAACCCCGCTCTCCAAACCCCACCAGAGCCTTGAACCCCGGAGCCGTTTAGAGTTTAGGGTTTAGGGGGCTTGGGGTTTAGGGTTTAGGGGTTTGGAGGTTTAGGGGTTTTGGGTTTTGGGTTTAGGGTTTAGGGGTTCAGGGCTTTGGGGTTTTAGAGTTTAGGGTTTGGGGTGTAGGGGCCCCGTAGGGCGTCCCTCCCCCCACACACCATCTAATACCCTCGCAACCGCAAGCCGCCGGACTCAAACCTACACCCCCTAACCCCAAACTTCAACCCGAAACCCTGAACCCTAGACCCTAAACCCTAAACCCTGAACCCTAAGCCCTGAACCCAAACCCCCCCAAACCCTGCACCCCTGTCGACCCTTTTCTGCCGCAGTCGCCAAAGTTCAGCAAGCTCGGAAACGATCTGGCTCGGCCACAGCCTCTTGCACTCAGGGATTTTCGGTGGGTTTCTGAAACTTAGGAACACTCTTTTTTTTTGGGATCGTTTATGAGCATCACATGTTTTCTCTTCCGATATTGGGTTTAGGGTTTGGGGGTTCAGGAATTTAGGGTTCAGTGGTTTATAGTGTACGTCTTTAGGGTCTCGAGTCTATGATGATTCTCAAGCTCTGGATGGGATCGCCTTGTGGTGGGCCTTGTTCTTTGCAGACTTTCTTCAACAGGCTTTTTGTTGATTAGTTACGATCGTCAGCCATAAACCCTAAACCCTAAACAAGGGGAAAGCATCAGCAAAGCCGTTGCGCCCACTTGTCAGCTAGGTCACCGAGAATTTAACATCTGGGCATGGGCATGGAGGCCTCAAGCCGTAAACAAACCAAAACATGGCAAACAGAGTCCAGTGGCTCCTTTGACTGGCGGCGCAAGAACCCGAAACCCTGATGCCTAAACCCCAAGGCCAGCAAAACCCTGAAACCCTGAAACCCTTCACCCGGAACCCTTAACCCTGAAACCCTGATCCCACCCTACTTCCTGGTGCTTAAGGGAGAGTGGAGGAGGGAATGTAAGGACCACTATAAAGGAATAGATAGCGACGCTTATGCGGATCCACTCTCCCAAGCCCAAACCACTATTTTCGAGTCACCAAGCTGGTAACACCGACCAGTGCAAACTGTAATCCTGGTCGTAGCACCTAAACCCCAAACCCTAAACCTAAAACCCTGTTCTCCTTAAATACCAAGCTGACAAAGGACGGGGGCTCCGAAGGAAACCCGCCTAGTGACCTGCGACGTGATCAAGGCGCTAGGGTTTAGGTTTCAGGGTGGTTTTGGGTGCAGGTGTCTGAGTTTGTGGGTTTTTGGTTTTAGTATTTTGTTTTTTTTTCGGACAAGGGTGTAAGGTCTCGGGTTTTGGCATGTAGGATTGAGAACTGCGTGTCAAGTTTAGGGTTTAGGATCTGCGGCTCAGCCAAACCCTGGGCTAGCCTCCCGTCCGGCTTTTGAAGGACCTTTTGATCAAGGCACCAGTAACTTGGGTCGGGTTTTGGATTTAGGGCCCTAAACCCTAAACCCTAAACCCCACATCATCTAGACTTGTAGGACGCGGCGACAGAACTACCCGAAACCCTAACAGAGCTGACGTAAGGGTGGCAGGCGCCGAGGCGCTGGTACCTCAAGCCCTACGCACTTGGAATGCAGAGATAACCCAGTTCTCCTAAGTTAGGGTCCCTTTTTGGATCCCTTTTATAAGGGCTTAGGTCTTTATGAGGGGTTTAGGGTTTGTAGGGGTTTTCTTGGAGGTTCATGGGTAGTTACAAGTGGGGTTATAAGTAGGGTAACTGTACTTACAACCCATATTGGGGGACTTATAACTCCACTTATAACTACCCATGAACCTCCAAGTAAGGGGGAGGCTTGCAGTTCCAGCTGCACCCTTGAACCCAAAACCCTAAACCTTTAAGCACACAGGCTCTGGATTATGGGCCGTACGGCTCTGGGTCTAACCGTGTGGGGTTCACGGCTTAGGGCCAACATGTTTCAGGGCAGGAAGCCTGCGAAATGTGTCCCCAAGTCTTGCCAATCGAAGAGTTCTGAATTTCGTAAACCCTAAACCCTAAACCCTAAACCCTAAACCCAAAACGACCCCGACTGCCATTTCACGTGACGGAAGGAGCCCAACCTTTTCTGCAGCATGCCCTTTCTCCCGCTGCCGGTTGCGGAGCCATTCTCTGTGAAACTTGGAGCACTTGGAACCACACATGGGGTGTCGTATAGGTCCGGTTTTGGGAGAAACCATTGGGAATACATTCCATTGAAAGAGATCGTTGCAAGGGGACCTATTCGCCAACCAAGTGTTTTGGACAGTTATCGCCTGCAGTTCACAGTTGTGAAGGCCTAGTAACTAATATAAGGTTTTGTACTACACCAGAATTATCCGACAATGAGTGCCAAACCCCTATTCCAATTATCAAGGCTCTGGCTGGGTTCTTGTTAAGGAGTTCACTGTAAGTTAACATCACAATGTTGCTTACTCTAGATCCCTATTATGGCACCTTAACCTACATTCCCCGGCAAGAATCCAGGTTGTTCAGCCCGGTGACTGCAACTAGGAATTGATAGATGGTCTGTTTTATCTGCTCGGGAGCGCTTCGTGACCAGTCCTTCGGGTTACTTGCGAGAAGTACACCATAATAATTACGCTAAATATGCTGTAATGTAAGTTTTCGATAGTACTTGCTATAGTTCTAGTGCAATATACCCCCCCAAGCCCTATTCTAGTTGTTCAGGCCCCCATGTGACATACCCTGGATCCGAAACACCAGGATGGCAACCACCCTAAACCCTAAGCCCTAAGCCCTAAACCCTAAACCCTAAACCCTAAACCCTAAACCCTAAACCCTAAACCGAAACACCAGGAAGGCAACCACACCCGTGAATGCCTTCCACCTCGGCGGCCCGTCGGTGGAGAAGATGCCGGTGCAACTCCTGAGCTTCGGGCTGCGGCTTCCCCAACCCCCGGGGGTTTAGGGTTTAGGGTTTAGGGTTTAGGGTTTAGGCTTTAGGGTTTGGGAGGATCTAGAAAGTAGATCCCTTCATGGCGGTTCCTATAAAGTGCCCTTGATTTAGTATAGGCTCCCAAACTAGGGGGTCTACTTTCTAGATCCTGGCGGGGGTCTGGGTTAGGGTTTAGGGATTTCGGGGCTGTAGGGTTTAAGGTTTATGGTTTTCAGGGTTGGGTTTGGGGTTCAGGGTTTAAGGGTTAGGGTTTAGGGCTTCAGGTTTAGGGTTAAGGCTCGTGAGGCATTGCAGGTTGCAGCAGAAATTGCATCAGACGCCTTTAGAGGATCAGGGTTTAGGGCCAGGCCCTGTTCAGGGTTTAGGGTTTAGGGTTTAGGAAGCAATGGACTGTGGTAGCAGGCTTGATACTTTGGACTTTGGTTAAGGCAGTTCGAGACATTCTGAGATCATTCTTCCGTAGTACTGCTGGCATAAAGAGAGTGACTGCGATGATTATGTAATCGTGCTTCTGATTGTGCTTCTTGTTGCTTGAAAAGAATTCCTCGTTCCCTCGCCCAGGAAGGCCATGCGAGAGGTCCTCTTCCGGGAGCTGAGCAGCCGTACAAAGGCAGGTCTGCCCACGGTGAGAATAAGCCATAGGACCTTAGGATGAGGGTGCTGTTCGTGATGTTCGTGATGTTGTTGATGATGGTGATAATTGTTGAACAGCAACAGCAACAGCAATAACAACAGCGATAGCGACAGCACCGGCACGAGCACCAGCACTTGAACCAGCACCAGTTCTGCTACTACTACTACTGCTACCCCTACCCCTACCCCAACCTCAACCCCAACCTCTACCACTACCACTACCGCCTCTATTACCAGTGCTACCGGTACTCCTGGTGCGCCACCAGAACCTGAAAGCTGGAAATTCCTCCTGCCACCTCCACCGTGCACCCTAAAGCACAAACCACAAAGGTCGCACTAAAACCCTAAACGGTGCACCTTGAGTACGCCTTAAACTTTAAGATAAACCCAGAAATCCCTAAACCCTAAACCCTAAACCCTAAACCCTAAATCCCGAAATCCCTAAACCCTTAAACCCCTAAACCCCGAAATCCCTAAACCGTAAACCCTAAGCCCTAAACCCTAAACCCTAAACCCTAAA